AATACCAATAGACTGTTGAACAAATTTTACAAACATTCACACACACACACACACACACCAACACACCCACACCCACACCCACCCACCCACCCACACACACACACACACACACACACATATCTCTCTCTCTCTCTCTCTCTCTCTCTTTATATATATATATATATATATATATATATAGATCTTTTTCCTAAACTACAATAAAGCACAAACAACATATCACAAATTGTAAAAATAGATTTTTTGAAAGCATCTGCTACGATAATTTTACTGCAACCAGGAACGGGACGTGTACCCTGCTTTCATGTTCCCATTTTAATAACTACCAACAATACACATCTAAGATACAATTACTATTTACATGAACTACATCAACGTCTTTACATAAAACTTTTTACACAACAATTCATCAGATCATCTCTTCAATTTCAGACTGCCGTTTCCTTTCTGGCAAAGCGCGACTAGCTGGAACAAGGACAGAGCCTCATCCTTCTCTGGGTGGATGAACTCACTGCAAAGAGGTGGTGGTTCCACAGATGTCAGGCACGGGACGGATTCTGTGATTGACCTCAGATTCTCTTCCATAAGGAGGGCAGTGTACCCTACAGTGACAATAATCATTGTGAAATTATTTGTAAAACTTTTATTTACTCAAAAGAATTATAAAATTTTTATCAATTGATTATTGTAATTGATTTATCAATATGGTTATGTATTAAATACTCTTTTAATGAAATCTTGGGAATTTCATGTGTTGAAATTGAAAGTGAATAGCATACCATAGGTAGGTTTCACTGCCCTTCTTCGCACACTGTAGTCTCCGTGCATGAATTTGGGGAACTTGATAGCATACTGCGGTGTTCCATCTTGATTGGTGGCTTGAGGTCTTGTTGCATTTTCATTGAAGTGAAGAGCAGCTATCATCAGCCTGAGCAATTTAAATCAAATAATGACCTTTGTTTTCAATGTAATTAGATAGAAAGAACTAGAAAACTGACAAGTCAGCAAGGGCCCCGCTGAGAGCTAGAATTATAAGGGTGCAGCTTACCATGCTTACGGAATGAAAATTTTACAAAAATTCAAAAATATATTCAAATTCTTGCGGGGCCCTAATGATACTGTGTCAATATTCTATCCAAATTTGTGTTACCTGCAGTACCTTCCGTAGTAGGAGAAAGATGACATTTTTTGGGCAAAGTGGTTAACTGCTGTGGTAAGCTTCAATCTTAGATGTTTGGAAAAGAGGAGACAATTTTGGAACATCTTTCCTCATCTGGGTTGACAATAGCAAGTCAGAGATTTTCTCGCTGGCCTTTGTCCCTATGAAATTATATTGTACATGTATTTGTTTACAGTAAATCAAAAGGGTATTATGATACCTGAAGGGAAAATATATTATTTTAATATTAATATTTATTTTTACTTTTTGTGGCAAGATTTATTGCAATCAGACTAAAACTGTAGGAGTACTTTTTAAAACAAATTTACAGAAATTTTGATTTAAATTTCCATGGCAACATCATTCAACAAAATTAAAAAACAATAACGACAATTATGTATAGTGGAGTCTACTTGTATGCCCAGTTATACTGAAATCAGACATAAAGTGTAGGAGGAGTAGCGTTTTGAAAGTATTTCAAGAAAATTTCTATATTTAGTAACCATGGCAACACTGTTCATTGAAATCCAAAACTGGTGTAAATATTCATGTATCTTATTGTAGTCTACTTGTGTGCCAAGTTATATTGAAATCAGATCAAAACAGTAGGAGGATTAGCCTTTTGAAAGTATTTCCCAGCAATCTCTATATTTAGTAACCATGGCAACACCGTTCATTGAAATCAAAAACTTAATACACAAAATTATGTATCTTGGTGTAGTCTATTTGTGTGCAAAGTTATACTGAAATCGGACCACAACTGTAGGAGGAGTAGTGTTTTAAAAGTATTTCACAGAAATTTCTATTTTTAGTAACCATGACAACACCATTCATTGAAATCAAAAACCAGTACAAAAAATTATGTATCTTATTATAATCTGCTAGAGTTCCAAATTATATTGAAATCAGATCAAAACTTAGGAGGAGTAGCGTTTTGAAAGTATTTCAAGAAAATTTCTATATTTGGTAACCATGGCAACACTGTTCATTGAAATCCAAAACTGGTGTAAATATTCATGTATCTTATTGTAGTCTACTTGTGTGCCAAGTTATATTGAAATCAGATCAAAACAGTAGGAGGAGTAGCCTTTTGAAAGTATTTCCCAGAAATCTCTATATTTAGCAACCATGGCAACACCGTTCATTGAAATCAAAAACTTAATACACAAAATTATGTATCTTGGTGTAGTCTATTTGTGTGCAAAGTTATACTGAAATCGGACCACAACTGTAGGAGGAGTAGTGTTTTAAAAGTATTTCACAGAAATTTCTATTTTTAGTAACCATGACAACACCATTCATTGAAATCAAAAACCAGTACAAAAAATTATGTATCTTATTATAATCTGCTAGAGTTCCAAATTATATTGAAATCAGATCAAAACTGTAGGAGGAGTAGCGTTTTGAAAGTATTTCAAGAAAATTTCTATATTTGGTAACCATGGCAACACTGTTCATTGAAATCCAAAACTGGTGTAAATATTCATGTATCTTATTGTAGTCTACTTGTGTGCCAAGTTATATTGAAATCAGATCAAAACAGTAGGAGGAGTAGCCTTTTGAAAGTATTTCCCAGAAATCTCTATATTTAGCAACCATGGCAACACCGTTCATTGAAATCAAAAACTTAATACACAAAATTATGTATCTTGGTGTAGTCTATTTGTGTGCAAAGTTATACTGAAATCGGACCACAACTGTAGGAGGAGTAGTGTTTTAAAAGTATTTCACAGAAATTTCTATTTTTAGTAACCATGACAACACCATTCATTGAAATCAAAAACCAGTATACAAAAATATGTATCTTATTATAATCTGCTAGAGTTCCAAATTATATTGAAATCAGATCAAAACTGTAGGAGGAGTAGCGTTTTGAAAGTATTTCAAGAAAATTTCTATATTTAGTAACCATGGCAACACTGTTCATTGAAATCCAAAACTGGTGTAAATATTCATGTATCTTATTGTAGTCTACTTGTGTGCCAAGTTATATTGAAATCAGATCAAAACAGTAGGAATATTAGCCTTTTGAAAGTATTTCCCAGAAATCTCTATATTTAGCAACCATGGCAACACCGTTCATTGAAATCAAAAACTTAATACACAAAATTATGTATCTTGGTGTAGTCTATTTGTGTGCAAAGTTATACTGAAATCGGACCACAACTGTAGGAGGAGTAGTGTTTTAAAAGTATTTCACAGAAATTTCTATTTTTAGTAACCATGACAACACCATTCATTGAAATCAAAAACCAGTACAAAAAATTATGTATCTTATTATAATCTGCTAGAGTTCCAAATTATATTGAAATCAGATCAAAACTGTAGGAGGAGTAGCGTTTTGAAAGTATTTCAAGAAAATTTCTATATTTAGTAACCATGGCAACACTGTTCATTGAAATCCAAAACTGGTGTAAATATTTATGTATCTTATTGTAGTCTACTTGTGTGCCAAGTTATATTGAAATCAGATCATTGAAATCAAAAACCAGTACAAAAATTTATGTATCTTATTATAATCTGCTAGAGTTCCAAATTATATTGAAATCAGATCAAAACTGTAGGAGGAGTAGCGTTTTGAAAGTTTTTCACAGAAATTTCTTTTTTAGTAATCATGGCAACAGCGTTCATTGAAATCAAAAACCGATATACAGAATTATGTATCTTAGTGTAGTCTACTTATTTGCCAAGTTATATTGAAATCAAACCAAAACTGCAGGAGGAGTAGCGTTTTGAAAAATTGTCCACAGACGGACAGACAGACAGACGGACGACGGACACCTTACTATCGCATAAGCTCTTCTGGTCTCTGACCAGTTGAGCTAAAAATTCAGTTACTAATGTGCGCTTTATTATTTCAGATTCATTTACAATTAACTCAACTTCCTCTTGGAGTAAGGTGATTGTCAAATTGATAACTTACTATGCAATTAGTCTCAACGATTTACGCATACACTATATTTCAAAACTTATACATCAGAATTTACATTGTATATAAAACTAGTAATACGTAAAAGCAATCTAATTAAAATTAGATGTTCCGAATCCGCTATCGCTTCTCAAACATCTAACAACATCCCATTCGGGGTCACGTCAGAGCGACCTTTCGATTACCCAATGAAATCGCCGTCGTCGAAATCTTGGCTCATAGTTCGGATGCGTTTCTTTTTTTTACTGCCAAACCTAAACGCCCGAGAGGTTTCGTAGTAAACAAAATATGCATGGTAAAGACCGTGCTATATATGAATGTGACTTGCGGGATATATAGTAGTTTGTGCATTTTCGTTTGCGTTATTCAGGTAAGAATGCCAGATTGGCGGACTATACGTTCAATTTATACCAAAATTACTTTAATTCAACGTAAGACAGTCTACTGAGCATCAATAATACAGAGATGTAGCCGTGGAACTAATTTTAGAATTGAATACAGAAGGTTGAATCTGATTGGCCAAAATTTTTATGTTTATTCATAATCGAAAGGTCGCTCTGACGTGACCCCGAATGGGATGTTGTTAGATGTTTGAGAAGCGATAGCGGATTCGGAACATCTAATTTTAATTAGATTGACGTAAAAGGTGATGAATAATAAAATTCAAATGATCACTCTAGCTAAGCAGAGCTTCCCCTCACAACAATATTTCTTACAAAGTACAACTTATAAAATTACATATCAAACCTTGCCTTACATGAGACACTTTCATTACTGACCTATATCTATATGCCTACACTTTGATTTTAAACAATATGATTTATATCATTTCACAACAAAATTTACATAAACAAAATCTAGTTGATCATACAAGTGAATTCTTTCATTTTTTTTCTGTTTATATTATCTTTATTGTTAACTTGGACATAAAATTTGAAGTAGCATTATGTAGAAATTAGATACAAACTGAGGCATCCCATTTTCACTCGCGACAGGAACTATCTCTGAGTCAATGGGTGGTATCGGTTCATGGGTATCCTCACTCAACAGTTCTGCTAAAATCTGGAAGACAAAAACATGTACCATAATTAGTCACTTTGAATTTAATCACACTTCGGGATATCAAATTCTGCAAGATGAATAATGAGAAAATACTAAGAAAAATAAATATTTAAAAATTAAAATGATATTGCTCCTAACACTGATCTCATATTCCTTAATCATCAATGGCACTGCTTTTAACACTGATTCCCTGACCTCTGGACTTATTCGTATTTAATGTAATATGTTTTCATTCTAGGATTATAATTGGAAATTATTGCTATTTACAGTCATTTATGTACAGAACAAATTATTCATACTCTTTTCTTCTCACATTTGACAACAGCCTGTCTTTTGGTAGCAGGTGAGCCTAAGCCTGTCGGCGACTTGATGAATGCTGTATTCAGATCGTCGATTTTCCTTTTAAGATATAACGAAGGGGTGGATCCCGGACATAGCCGACGTTTGGCTGACATTCTTAAGTATTTCATCAAGGAAAAACTGGCCTCAAAACAATCGTCTTTAAAATATTTAGAACAGATCACTGTATACTGTGAGGGTCCATGCCAGTCTGCTCTCGTCAACTTCACAAATCGAGTCCATGCAGATCGCTGCTTCTCGTCCTTGGGAAAAACGTGAAGCGTGATGGAGTCGGACAGTCTGTTGCTGCATGCCGCCACAAACCACATGCGTCCTTTGGATTTTCAACTCATTTTTTCACGCAAAAAATGTCTTATACTCGTAGATTGTTTACATTCCATTGAGTGCCAAAGCAGTTATAGTACGTCACTTACGGCTAGAGCCTCGTTTTCGGTATCGTAAAGGCGTGTTTGCGCATAAATTTCGGTTTTCGGCGAATATCTCGCTTACGGTGAAAGATTTAAACAATTTTTTTGATCGTTATTAAAAGTTAATTACTTTAAAATAAGCCCATCATATGTTGCTATCTCATGGGCACAAATTTAGACATTGTTCCTTAGAATGTGTATAAAAAGTACCTTTTAATTTGAATTATTACAAACATTTGTAAAGCCACTTATGAACCAATATAGTGTTTTTGATATATTTGTGTATCCTTTAATGTTAAAATGGAATTAACATATAGCAAATCTATAATCTTAGAATAAATTGTATCATTCAATTTTAAGGGGAAAATTAACAAGCAAAAAAAAAAAAAAAAAAAAAAAAAACTGTTATTGTATTATTTCAAAGTAAAGAAGATCCATCAGGAATTATCAGATGTCTTGGGATTTAAGAAAAAATCTATAAAGAAAAAAATGATAAAAGACTTCATCTAATTTGATCATCTCAAGAATTGATTTGGACTCTCATTGTGTACAAAGATTAAATAAATGTAAACTTGGGCCCACTAATACATATAAAATTGTACATGTATATGTTATTAACCTTTGAAAGAGGTAAAATTCTCTGCGTCGTCAGCCTTTATCCTTGTCCAAGGTATGTTTGTTGACAAATTAAAGTTTTGAAACTGAAGCCACGACTGACAAGTTGTTGGGGTTATTCTGTTACGACACAAGGTAAGTTTCTCATCAAATGCTTTGTAAACTTTCCATCTACAGAGATCCTTCTCAAAATCACAATCAACTGAAGAAAATAAAAGAAAAAAGTGAAGATAACTAACGGTATAAAATTAGATCATACTCAGGCAAGCTCTTGAGTATAGAATAAGTTTGGAGAGGTAAATACCATATGCTGGTTGTGGAATATCACTACATAAATAAGGAAAGTTGACAAAGGAAAAGGGGAAGTCGTCTCGTTTGTCATACAATTGAGTTGTTATTTGTCCATTATTGTCTAAAGTCAGTAAAACATCCAAATATAAAACAGATGTGGCAGACTCTGTCGTGTCTTTATTTCATTAATACTCGGATGTATCGAGTGGAATGAATGGAAATAATTATTATTAATTGATGTCCATATATCTGAATGTGGAGTTGAAAGCAACAACAAGTGCTTTCTTCTTCTCCTATGGAAGTTTTTGAATGTATACTGCTTTATAAAAATATTTTTTTTAAAAAAACAGGTCGACTAGAAAAGGAGCAAAATTAGTGCTCATCGCAATTCCAACAGTTTGTTGGAAGATGTTGTCTCCAAAGTCTTCTAAGATGTTATCAATGAGGAACGCAATATCCTTTTAATATTACTTGTCAGTCCTCTTGTGTAGAATCAGTGTAAAAAAATGTATAATCACAATATACTAAAATTATAAGTGTAAAAAGTCTGTAGAAACAAAGGAAACAAAAAATATTATAAATAAATTACGTTAGGATAATAACAAATAAAATATGAATAGATAAATGTAAAAGGCTGAATTATCATAATCAACTTTTAAAAAAGTGTATAAGATTGTACAATCAATTAAAAAACTGTCAAATGCTATGTAATCAGAATCAACTTTAAAAAAGTGTATCAATTTCATTTATTTTATTCAGGAAATAATATTACAAAAATGCCATGACTATGTACATATAAAACATAAACCGTCAGGGGATGCCTACTCCTCCTAGGCACCTGATTCCACCTCTGGTGGTTCAAGGGGTCCGTGTTTTTGTCCTGTTCACGATTTGATTTGTTTACTGGAGTTATGAGGTCGATCGCTGTTCTTTATCTTCCCCTTTTACATTGTCCCAGCACTATATTGCTTAGGATCTATTAACGCATTAATATTTATATAAGCTACATGACATACAGCCTATAAAAAAAAAACGTTTAAAAAGGTTAACAAAATATTTTCAAAGGGACCCCTCAATTATAATTTCAGATGAAATTGAAAAACAAAATATTTCTAAAAAGTATATATGAAGCAATATACCATAAATGGTGAATATTGGAATCAAGTAATCTGAATGAAAATACAGGTCTATTCAAATCTATTTTGGATACTTTTGGACTTTCATTTTCACAAGGAAATTCCGATGCTGATGATGAAGATTCTTTAATTGATGTACAAGATTTCTTACAAGTGAAATTCAACTAACAGAGCATTACCTTGAACTATGATGAGGATAACTCTGAAGACATTGTGACCATTCTAAACAATGGATTTTTGTTTGCCGACACTGAATTCAAAAAGGTAAGCATCTATAAATTAATTAATGGAATGTTACGGCTATACTATACAAATCAACTCAAACAATCCATGTTCAAGGGAGTGAAAGATTCACTTTGCTAAGAAAATTCATTGAACAATTTCCTCATCCGCCATTAACTCAGGTTAGTAAAATTGAATGGATGCTTTAGCCACAAAATACCTCTACCCCTAAACCTTGTAAATTACAAGACATGGAAAAACAGACCATGTCAGAACTGTAACAGCTTTCAAACTATTCAAAAACTGACAAAGTCTGTTACTGATCTTTCTGAGGAAGTTGCCAGATTGAAAATGGACTTCCAATCTCTTCAGATTAAAAACACTCAATCAGTAGATGCAACTACTCATCCAAAAGAACCACTTACAAAAAGAGGTTGATGCGTGGGACATTAAGGATACCAAAGTACAAGGCATGTCATGACATACTCAGTGTTCTAGAGTGGAGACGAGGGAATCATCAATCAACTTCCCCAGGAAACACATATAGTGGAATCCCAATCAGGCTTCAGAGAACTACATTCTTGCCAAACAGCCCTTACAAAAATTACAGATGAATGGTTAAATAAAATGGACCAAGGAAAACTTGTTGGTTCTGTTTTTCTTGATTTCAGTAAAGCTATTGACCTTGTTAATCATGATATTTTACTTAAAATCTACAATGTTATAATTCTGATGCAATAACATTACAATTGTTCCCATCATATTTATGTAACAGACTTCAAAGTGTGCATTTGTCCAACAAACATTCAACTTAACAGCAAGTCACAGCGTGAGTTCCATAGGGGTCTATACTAGGACCTATCCTGTTTTTATTTTACATTAATGATCTTCCATTATGTATAACAAAATCCAAAATAGACTTATCTGCATATGATGCCACTTTACATGCATCCAATAAAGATTCCCAAACTATTGTAGATGCAATATCAACGGATATAGTTTGTATAGAAAAATGGTGTTCTCAGAATCAAATGGTTCTAAATGCTACAAAAACTAAATGCATGTCAGTCAAAATTTTTCTGAGCATGAATTTAATCTATGCGTATCGAACCAAAAACTAGGTGTTGTATTAAATGAACAAATTTCTGCCCTCCGTAGAATTAAAAAGTTTCTTCATATTGAAACACGCAAGCTGTTTTACAATGCTTATATTATACCTTCAATTGATTACTGTTTAACCGTGTGGGGTAATACATCTCACTCAAATCTTGACCGAGTTCATAAGCTTCAAAAACCTGCTGCAAAGTACATTTTAGATGCTCCCCCTCATGCGCCCTCATAACCTCTCTTTGAGAAACTAAATTGGCTCACAGTGTACGAGAAACTTATTGTAAATAAATATATTTTTTTTTATAAATCACTGTTTAACTCTAACCCTACTTATTTAAATAGTATGTTTCATTTCCAGTGTAATAATCGATACAATCTTTGATCTGATTCTAACTTAGACCTGTGTAAAACATCTCATAAACGTAAACTCTTTGAAAATTCTTTCAAATATTCTGGTGCATTTTTATGGAATGATTTACCTGTATATATAAAAATAACTCCAACACTCAATGCTTTTAATCGACAAATAAAAAACAAACTATGTAAAACAATATCGCAACAACTCGTGATTATTTATTGATTTTGTGTATTTGTTTATGTATGTATTTTGATTTTTTTTTTTTACAGAAGGTCTCGGGGAAGAATAGTGCTTGCACTACTTCTTTAAATAAAGTTTTTATTATTATTATTATTATTATTATTATCACCTGCATATGGATTTTATGTCTCGCAGTTGATTCGATACGCAAGAGCAGCTTTTGCCTACGAACAAGTTCTGAAACGAGGCAAGCATTTGAAAAATAATTTGATGATACAAGAATATCAACAGTCTTGTTAAAAGTCAACATTTTGGAAAATTTTTGGTCATTCATGGTCATATGATTTATGGTTTGAGATAGAAACTGTTTTAGAATAATCATTATCTTAACTCTCTATTTATAACTTAGAAAAGAACATTAAGCTAAAAAAAAATACATAGATAAAATAGATAAAAATAAATCTATCTCATCACAGCACGCAAACTATAGAGTTGAAGAGAAGAGGCTACTTCAACGTAGTAGAGAAAAAAAATCACACAATAAATGATAATTCTTTTCAGAGCTTTGATCCCGCTTCTACACTAAGAATTACAGTCATCTAAATTTCATATGTATATAGAGAAATTCATAAGATATAGATGGATCATAACCTGACAATTTTCTCATAGTAAGGCTACGTTTTGTAGGACGTACGGCTCTCGTGTCCACACGTTAAGGCAAGACTTACAAGATTATATACAACATTTCCAGTGTTTCCAGCCATAAAGAGTGCATTCGGTCATTAAAATAGAAGAATAGATTACTAGGCTTTGTAATAATTTTATCAACAAGTACATTCACACTTCTTAAGAAAAGAGGAAGAGGTTGAACAGAAGCATTCGTGGATATTTTATTATCCTATTCGAAATCACTTCAATATACCCACGTGTATGGTTTGATAAAAATAGAATGACATTTGAACGAATGATTTTCATTGGTTGAGAAGAAA